CTCGAGCGACGGGCTGGAGCCCGGAATCCGACAGGTATTGGGCGGCTTGGGGAGAAGAGACAGGGGGCGCGGTGGGCGGGCCGGAGCGCGTCCACTTCGCGGGTGGCTGTTCCGTCGGGTGTGGCCTGCGGGAAGGGCGTGTCGCCCAGCTCCTCTGCGACTAGTTACTCTTCACCCCTTTTTCCTTGGCGCTCTTGCTTTTCTTGGACCTGGTGCACCCCACCTCTAAAGCTGGAGCAGCTGTGCTGGTTTCCCGTTCCTGCCTCCCTTCCATTCCCGGGGCTGCGCTTTCGGCACACAGTGGGGTGCGCCTAGGACTTCGCAGCGACCGCGCGGCGCTGCCTCTGGTTTGCTGCACGCCTTCCAGTGTTTGGCCGCAGGGGGAAGGAAGCCTTGTTGTGCCGGGTTGATTTGGACAGAAAATACATTTCTGCCTTGTAGGGAAGTGTAACAGATTTTCACAGTGACCAAATCATCGGGATGGAGGATCCACCCGGTGTCACGCCCCTGGGGCGTCTCTTTGGGAGGGTGGCCCAGGCGCCCTCGCTGCGCCCTTTCAATAAGACTCTTGGCTCTAGGGCGCGAAGGCTTCCCAGGCAGCAGTCAGATCTCAGAGGTTTGGACCGGCTGGTACCTTGAGGCAATTAAGCTTCTGTTCCATCAGATAAGTGCTGCGTCGTCTCTAGCGAGTGAAATCTGGGCTCACAATGTTAATGGGCTCACGTCTTTCCCTTGATAATATGGTTTTGTTTATTGAGTGTAGAGAGACGGGAAATAAAAGTGCAATTGGCACAGGAAGCTGAAGAGTAGGAAGATTACAAAGACAAGCTTTACATTGTCAAACTTTGCAACTTCCTCGAGCATTTCTTTTAATGCTTTCCTCCGTGGAGCTGTAGGAAATTAAGTTAAATAAATACGGGTTATTTGCACGCAGTAGTAATGAAAAAGGTTGGTTTCCTAAAACCTTGGTTTGAATGAAGACTGTAGTGTCTTCTTAGCTTTCAAGTGCCCATGAAAACTCCATCTATTCCAGCCGCTAAATTATGGTGACTGAGGTTTTATTGCTATTTCACTGATATACTTGTTCTATTGAGTCCTTGCCTAAAATTCCTCTCTAGGTGGATCTGGAGAATAGGAGTCATCCTAGTGCAGAAAGCCAGCTTCTCACAGGGATGTGGCCTGCATGCAAATGAACAGAACCGTGTAAGGGGTGGCATGATGGTGAGGCTGAAGCCCCTCCAGATTAAGGGTCCCCTATGAAGGAAGATACTCAAGGCTAAAGGATATGGTGTTGCTGCTCAGCTGTGGTTCTGCAGTTTGACTGAGAAATGGACTCCTGAGCTGGAAATAGCTCTGTAGCCTTGAGTTGAGTTGTCCATAGTTTCCCTGAAACAAATTTTTGGAGATTTAGCCTTTGCTGAGAGCAGAACAGACACTACAAGAATAGCATTTTTAGGGGCCGGGGAGATGGCTCAGTAGAATAAGTGCTTCCCTGGCAAGCACAAGGGCCTGGGTTCAATCCCTGGTTCCACCAAAAAAAAAAAAAAAAAAAAAATTTTTTTTTTTTTTTTTTTTTTTTTTTTGGTTATGTTTTGTTTTCACAACTGTCCTGTGAGTGGGGACTCAGGAGTAGGGTTTGGGGTAGAGTTCACTATTTGTTCAGCCCCAGTGAGGTCCACTGATAATCCCACAGAGACAGCTACATTCTGTTCATCTTTAATTCCCTTTGATCTTCCAGTCCTTGGAAGTCCAACACTTCTACCATCAAGATTTCTGTCTCCATTCTTGGGCTGATTCTTGATTTACTGAAGTTGGAAGTCAGGACACTGAGCATGTCATACCCAGAGTCAACAGATGTTTGTCATTTATCTACTATGTAGGACATTTTTGTTAGAGGGAAGTGAAGGAGGGGAAATGACACTCTCAAACCAAAAGAATAAGAGATTTTTATTTTTTTTCTCAGAACCAGGGATTGAACTCAGGCCCTTGTGCTTGCCAGGGAAGTGCTTATTCCACCAAGCCATCTCCCCAGCCCCAAGAGATTCATTTATGACTCGGGTCTTAGCTATGTTATAAATCTACTGCAGAAGAATCTTGTTTTATTCCATACCTTAATCTACAATTCTCTGGGAGATCAGATGTTATTGAGGGAAATGTGTGAAGATAGGACAGTATGAGTAGCTTTAAAGCTTGAGTCATAGTCCCAGGGTACGAGAGAAATGTCTAACTTCATTACTTTTTCAAACCATGAATTCCCAAGGGTCGCTTGCCCTGCAGGGGTCCTGGTGCTGTGAGTTCTCCATGGGAGGTGACAGCAGAGGAGCCAGATTACTAAACATGTTTGATGTAGGAATGCTTTGAAATCTCTCCTAGCCTGCTCACCATTGGAGCCACCCCCTACCCATTCTCATCCCCGCCCCCACTACCTTTCTCTCACTTTCTAGTAACTTTCCTGAAGACAAGTGAGGGAAGACAGGCAATGAAAGATGGCAGTCTGGTCTTCTGTGCTTAAAGGTGCTCCCAGAAAGTCCCTGACAACCCTCTTCCACAAGCCCCACCTGGCTACCCCTTGGAGACTGTTGAGCACAAACTTAGTTCCATAACCCCAAAGTATAGGTTTCTAAAGGGCAGAGTCTTTTATACCAGATTGAGAGAAAATGAGGTTCATAGACAGTGCTCTGTAGCATCTTCCTGTTATTCTAGGATAGTGGAGGTGGTAATAAAGGAATCCTAGGAGTAGAGTTTTAGCTCTCTTAGGGGCCTGATAACATGACTCTCCTTAAGGAAAATAATTAGGGTACTATGCCTTTCCCTGGAAATCTGTAGTACTTGACAAATGGTAAGCATTGGACAAAAATAATGGACAATGTTGGATCTTTTTTTTTTTGGAACCGGGGATTGAACTCAGGCCCTTGCACTTGCCAGGGAAGTGCTTATTCCACTGAGCCATCTCCCTCGCGCAATGTTGGATCTTATTCTGACTAAACGATATCCTTGGATTTCTGACTCCCAAAACACTTGGTGTGGGTCCAAAACCACTTGGTATGGGTAGGAGTCACCATAAAAGCTTAGTTAAAAGTACAGAACTCTTGGCCCACTCCCAGAAGTCTTAATCCAATATGTCTGACTCAGAACTATTTTTAACAAACCTCTTGAGCAATCTTACTGAAAGGTTCTCCAGAGCTACACTTTGAAATTTCTGCTCAGGAGTTGGGGTGGAGGCAGGAGAGATAGTTCAGTGGCTTACATGCCTGCCTGGCAAGCAAAAGATCCTGAGTTCAATCCCCTGTACAAGGGGCAAGGGGGGGAAGGTCCTATCTCATATATATATTGGGGCTGGGGAGATGGCTCAGTAGAAAAAGTGCTTGCCTGGCAAGCGCAAGGGCCTGAGTTCAATTCCCAGTTCCACCAAAAAAAAAAAAAGAGTTGGGGTAGGACAGTGTGGGGAGAAGGAGATGTTCTTGTGGGAGAGGCCGTGAGCAGAGAGGTCATGGCTAGCTGGTATATAAGTGCACTAGAAATGTGCAGAAACTGTTGAGTAGCAGAGCAGACAGATCAAATGTCAATGTCAAACTTAAGTGCAGAGGGCTAAGGTTCTGGGACATATCCTCAGGAAAGGATAGGAATTTCCCAAGTTTTGCTGGCTAAAGGACTTTGCAGAGACTGGGCTGATTTGTGCCTCTTGCAACTTCCCTAGCTTTGTGTTCATGGTGCCAGTGGGGTAAGAAAGGAAGATTTCTTACAATCTCTCCCAAGAAAATTCAGAATGAGGACCGGGATGGCTCAGTAGAATAAGTGCTTGCCTGGCAAGCACAAGGGCCAGAGTTCAATCCCCAATTCTAGAAAAAAAAAGAAAGAAAATTCAGAATGATTTTGAGGCAATAGAAGAAAGGAAAGAGTGGAAATAGAATTTACAGCTCTCTTTTCCTTTCATCTTTCCTGAATCATCTGAAAGGTGCTTTGGAGGCCTAGGGATCCTAAGTAGGTAAAATATCCCTCCCTTAGCCTAAGCTGTCACTCTTTCTTTGGCTGAAGGGTGACCTTTCACAGCCTATGACAAAACTAGAAGGCATCTTGGAGATAAACTATATCAGATTCTTAATTTTAGAGAGGAAGTTGCTTTACTGAGAAGTTAAAGGCAGTGTCACTCTGCAAGAAATAAGCGAGCTCTGATTCCACAGTCCATTGACTTTCCACAGCCTTCAAAGAGAAAGAAGTAAGGCCACTATTCCTCTCCACTGTGGCAGGCCTCAGGGTTGAGGAAGCACAGCAGTGTTCCAGGAGGCACCTTTGTTCCCTGAGAGACCACATAGTCATTGACTGAGAGGCCTAATGCCCTCCCTTTGGGATTTGTTTGCCAGCCCCCTAGTACTCCCACCTCGAGGTTTCTACAAGAGAGAGCAAATGTAGACTGGGTCCCCATCATGCATCACCAGGCAAAGGTAAAACATCCCCTCCTTCCTACTGAGGTTGGCCAGAGGTTAAAACAAGAGGTGTACCTAGGCTGTATTCACTGAATAGAGCAAGTGTCCAAAAAGGATGCATCTGAACACACTCAGGACCAGGTTGGCTATACCTGTACGGGCCAATGATGATCTTCCTTTATTTTCAAAATAGGTAATAAATACACACATGGTTCAAGATTCAAGGGGTATGCAGCCATCTAGTTTCCCTTCTTGTAGGCAACTACTTTTATTAGTTTCATGAATTTTTTACACAGATACCTTAACAATTTATGTCTCCCCATGGTTTTTTT